TGGTTCTACTAGGAGTCTGGTATTAATTGGGGGGCTTTAGAGGCTCTGGTATTAATCTGGCTCCTAGGGGACCTGATATTGGTTTGGATCTTGGGGCATATGGTATTGTTGTTAATCTAGTATTTGTCTGAGTCTGGTTTTATGGGTTATTAGTATGTGTTCTCAGTCTAAAAGGTTATGATATTTGTCTTGATCTTACAGAGTCTGGTACTATCTTAGGTCTGGATCTAAGAGGGTTTTGGTAATGTCCTGGCCTGTTATTAATCTGGGTATAGACCTTAGAAAGTTTGGAACATATCTGGTATTGGTCCCGGCTTTATGGGGTTGGCTATTAGCAGTGTTGGGGGTAACACATTACAAGTAATGAGAGTTACGTAACCAGATTACTTTTTTCAAGTAACTAGCAAAGAACAAAACATCGGAGTTACCTTTTCAAGTAAGTAACACAAGTTACTTTGTTATCCCATTTATTCAATGACACCTCTCCTGTCCCTGTGTTGAGAGAAATTGGGAGTGAGGTGCAAAGGCAGAGGCACTTCCTTCAGCCTGAGGCTTATTAATTTATATTTGAGTGTGGATGGGTCTTTACAGTTGCCAAGATATAACCTTTGGGTTTTTTGTTAATAAAAACAAACAAGCAACCCCACCCCAGGTGACAAAAGTAGCACAAAAGTAGTGTAATGCATAACTTTTTATAAGGAAAAAAGTAACTAAGAAATGCAATTAGTTACTTTTATAGAGTAATGCCACATGTGTATACATCATCTGAAATCGGAATAAATAAGTTTCCATTGATGTATGGTTTGTTAGGATAGGACACAATTTGGCCGAGATACAACTATTTGAAAATATGGAATCTGAGGGTGCAAAATAAATCTTAAATATTGAGAAAATCGCCTTTAAAGTTGTCCAAATGAAGTCCTTAGCAATGCATATTACTAATCAGAAATTAAGTGTTGATATATGTATGGTAGGAAATTTACAAAATATCTTCACGAAACATGATCTTTACTTAACATCCTAATGATTTTTGGAAAATCGATCATTTTGACCCATACAATGTATTGTTGTATTGCTACAGATATACCTGTGCTATACCTGTGCTTATGACTGGTTTTGTGGTCCAGGGTCACATATTGTAATGCATTACTTTTAAAAGTAACTTTACCCAAATGCTGGCTATTAGTCTGGATCTGGACTTTTCTCTAGTGATTGGATAGTGGGTGTACTACCGGAGTGTCGAATTCTGCTCCTGGATGGCCAATGTCCTGCAGATTTTAGCTCCAACTTGCTCCAACACACTTGCCTGGAAGTTTCTAGTAATCCTGAAGACCTTGTTTAGCTGGTTCAGGTGTGTTTAGCAGAGTTGGAGCTAAGTCTACTTAACAGTAACCCTCCAGGAGCAGAATTGGACACTTCTGGTATACTAATTCTAAATAGACTAATTCAGGGGTCTCCAACATTTTTTACAACACGGACTGGAAATGTTTTGAAAGAATTCTCGAGGGATGGGGTGGGGTTATATATTTATTTATATAGTGATTCAGTGGATAATATTGTGGTTTTTGAGGCACAGATCGGATGATTTTCGGATAAGCAAGAAACAAACAAAAATAAATAAATAAATAAAAATAGATAAATAAATACATTAATAAATAAATAAAGCACAGAGAATGACAATGCCGTGAAGGGTTTTTGATATAATTTTTTATGTGTATGTATCTTAAATGCAGGGAGACGTGAAAGAGGAATCATTCACGCACTGTCTGAAACACGTCTCTATGCTTGTGCACGCTGAGTGTGTACGAGAACAGCTCGCAAGTAACAAAAGTTGTTTTTCGTTTTGTTTCGTTTCTTCTTGTGGTTTAAATTTGCTTGAATGTGTAAATTGGCAAATTGATCTGCGAATCAGATGCATGCCAAATGGTGGGGTCTGAATCACTGATCAACTGTACTCCGTTTAACCCCTAATATATGACAAATCAGAGCAATCTTTTATTTACTAATTTAACATGATATTGTCAAATTGCTCTGGACAAAATAGGCTAAACTGACTAAATTGACCCCACCTCTAAATGGGCATCTCCTTCAGTCTTGAATTCACATGATACTAGTACTAATGAGACAGGAGCATCCCTGAACTGACTGATGGTCATGTTTCCATCACTGGGTTTCATTAGTCAGAATTACCTCATGTTGTACTCACTCAGCTTAGTTGCCCTCTGGACCATCACACATCTGTCTTTCCTTTCCACTGAGCTCATAATTTCTCTGTCTGCTTGTGATGTGTTCTTGACCACGTAGTGACCACGTAGTGACCACATAGATTTCTTGCATCAGTGAGTGTGCTAACTTAAACAGCGTATGTTGTTGTTCTTTAACCCCTTTTAGTGTTTGAGCAGTCATCGCTGAATCAGGTGTATAAAACAGGCCCATCACTCTCAAAGAGTACGCTGACCCTCTCCAAAACATGTGAATCCAATTAGAGCCAGACACACAGGAGTTTGACTGTAATTGGTGTGAATGCATTCACACAAAATCACAACAGCCTCTTCTGCTCCAGCAGAGAAATCATTGCACAAACATCACAGAGAAATGATGAGAACATCATCTTCACAAATCACAGTGTTATTGTGGTGATGTTAAGATGCTCACACATACCCATAAGAGGCATTCAAATGCACACTGACATGTTCAGGCTCTTTTAACATTCATACATATTTAGGAAAATAACTTTGTAAGCATATAATTGTTAGCTAATGCAAAGTTTGTTCTTTTTTTTGCCACATACATTATGAAATTACAATTATTGTTGTTTTGGACATTGCATTTTTAGTTGATTAGATGTATTAATTCAGTTCTCTGTGGAAGTCCATTTTCTCTACATACACACATATATATATATATATATAGTCACGACTGCCTACTGTGGCGGAGACGAAGGAGCATGGAAACCAGGAGGATTAACAATCAAAGGTATTTATTTATGCAAACAACAAGGAACACAGGCAGGATCACACACGTAGACTCAGCAGTTGACGATCAATACAGGACAAAGACAAAGACTGCACAGAATCAAATTAAATACACAGGGAAACGAGGATGATAACTAGACACACCTGGAACACATTGGAAACAATTAGGACAGGAAGGACCAAATATGGGCATAAACATTGGGACACAGGGAGCACATGGGGAACAAAAAAAACACAACACAAGCCTGACATGACGCCCTACTCCGGAAGGTGCGTCCACGCGCCATACAACATCAAAGAGGTGGGAGGGTGGGCGCCTTGGAGATCCCTCAGGACAGGCTTGGACGGGACGGGATGCCCCAAGGCGATCCCAGATCCGGGCACCATGGTGGATCAGGGGACTCAGGAGGCCATGGCGGATCTGACAGTTCGGGGTGCCATGGCGGAGCAGGCAGACTAGGAGGCCATGGCGGCGTAGGGAACTTGGGGATGCTTGCGGGCTCCGGGGCCCTCCCTGGGCTCAACTGGGGATCCAGAGCCCTCCCTGGGCTCAACTGGGGATCAGGAGCCCTCACTGGGATAGACTCGGGAACTGGGTAGCGCTTACGAGGAGCTGGCACTGGAGGGCGCTCTGGAAGAGCAGGCATAGCAATGCGCTTTCGAGGAGCTGGCACTGGAGCGAGCTCTGGGGCTGAAGCCGACACTGAAGCGAGCTCTGGACTTGGAGCCGACCGCCTTCTCCTCCTTCCATTCCCCTTTAGATTCGGGGTGAAAGGCATGGTCGGCAGGCTTGAAGTGAGCCGCGGCCGGTGGGCTTGATAAAGGATCGGCCGGCGGGCTGGAGAGAGTCATGGCCAGCAAGCTTGACATTGGAATGGCTGGGGGGCTTGACTCGGGATCGGCCAGCAGGCTGGAGAGAGCCGAGCTTGAGGATGCCGCGGCCGGTGGGCTGGTTCTGGCTCAGGGGACGAACGCTCTCCAGAGACCGGAGGATTCCTTCTCTCCAGCTTAGTCCCGTGGTGTCTGGGAGGTCCACAGGGCGATGGCAGTTGGCCCCGTGCCAGAACAGCAAGTTGAGGGTGGAGTCCTCCAGGGTCGTAGCCGCGGCGAGCCTGCAGAATTCCCAGGAATACTCAACAAAGGGGAGATCCAGGCAAGCTAGGGAGGCGAACCGTGCGGCAACTTCCATGCCGCGGGGAGAAAACAGACGGGAAACAAAAAGACTTTCGAAAAAACGGAAAACAAACACAGGGAAAGGGGCGTCGCTTACTGTTCTGTTATTAGGTCCTGTATTCTGTCACGACTGCCTACTGTGGCAGAGACGAGGAGACGAAGGAGCATGGAAACCATGAGGATTAACATCAAAGGTATTTATTTATGCAAACAACGAGGAACACAGGAAGGATTACACACGTAGACTCAGGGGTTGACGATCAATACAGGACAAAGACAGACTGCACAGACTCGAAGTTAAAGACACAGGGAAACGAGGATGATAACTAGACACACCTGGAACACGTTTGAAACAATTAGGACAGGAACAGGAAGGACCAAATATGGGCATAAAAACTGGGACACAGGGAGCACATGGGGAACAAAACACAACACAAGCC